CGTCGAACACCACAGCCACGCCGTTCGTGATGTACACGCCGTCCATCAGCACCGTGTCCACGGCGCGGCCAACCGTGATGGCTCTGTCCACCGTGCCGCCCCGCAGTCGCAACACCACCGCATGCGCCGCGGGCACCCACGCCGTCGCCGCAACCAGCGCCAACGCCACAAGCAGCGCCGCACGCACAGTCGCAATGGCCCTGCGCCGCACACGGTGCCGGCTGCGCGGACACGCACCTTCCGCAGACCGCATCCACCGACACAAACAGGCACCAACAGGGCTGTCGTGGCGTGTCGCACTCGCACCGTCAACCGTAACTCCCGTTTAGCAAAATCCCTTCTACAGATGGCAAATACAGATACACAATTCCTATATATCGCTATCCCACTAATTCTGCTATTCCTAATACAGCAATTAATAATTAACACCTTGAAACGATAGTTGTGCTGGTGAAGCCAAAGTAACTCTAAATGCTCGGTCAGAGGAGAAGGAAAAAGCAGGAACAACAGCAAATAAACACAGTGGCACGCAGAAGCATCCGGCCACAGCCCGACCGCCAACATACAGACAAGAAGACGCGCAGATGCAATCACAACAGTGACATCATCGCCCTCCCTCATCGAACAGCACCGCACTAAATCACGCCGTGGATACTTTGTGAACTAGCGGCAATGGGGCAGCGTACACGGAACGGCATCAAAATTCCATCCTATAATTGCTAAAATTTATGTTTCTCGTACTTGTTGGCAACAACACTAAAAAGACCACAGAAGAAAAAGCTTCCATCCTTCCTCAAAATCAAAAACACAAGAAAAAACCTCTCTACCCTCTCCCTTTCCACGGCCTGAGTGCCGCAAGAGGCTGTCAATAAAAACACGTGTGTGGAGGCCCCAAATGTGCGGGCGGGGTCGGCATCCACCCACACACCCGCGCTCCCTCCACTCTCCCCCACACGGGGGCGGTGCCATGCGGGAAAGAAGTCCGCCACACGACGCATGCAAAAAGCACTCGGTGAAGCAACACCACCCATGTCGCACCACAACAAAGAGCCATGCGCTCAGCACAGACCCACGGCCGCAACGAGAGGAACGGGACGCACCCAAGTCCACGGCAATGTCCTTTACTTTTCTCTTCCACGACAAATTTAAATTGCACCCCACAACAGGTTGTGGCGGGTGGCGTCCCACACCTACGGTGACGCACGGCACACACCGTTCGCTCCCCTCCGAGTGCACTCAGCAGGCCGGGGCAGGGCGCCCCGTCATCCTCGTGTCATCGCAAAGGGGAACAAAAACAATCGTCGTCGCTGGCCACCGGCGCCTCTAGCAGGAATATGAAAGAATGGGGGCATTTCAACAGCACAGAGGACAGAGGGACATCCAACGGGACAAAAAGACACAAAGAGACAGTGGGAAGAAAAAATACAAAAACGAGCAAAGGGGATTTACAAAAAACAAAACACAATTAATAAAGGGCAGAAAAAGAATGACAGTCCAGCAAAAATCACAAAAGAAAAAGTGATCAGGCAGCACTTCGATTTCGTGCACCAAGCAACAAAAAACGACCGTGCGTTTGGGTACACACACATTGCCCACACCAAGAAAAATTAAAAAGAAAAATATTGTACTTTTCCACGAGAACACACAACGCCCCTCACATTACATGTGGCACACGGTCTGCTCCTCCGCTCCTCCTTTTGTGCAGTCCGTGGGAATCACAGGAATGAGTCCGGCACAGCGTGTGGGCAACAGAAGCAAACAGGAAGGAGAGGGTGCGCCACACATGAGGATGTGTGTGAATGATCAAAGAAATTTCACAAAAGCAAGAATTCAATGGATAAACACACACAAGCATAAAAAAAAATCACTCTTCGGAAGGCAGTGGAATTGGAAGTGGTGCTGCGGATGTGTTCCAACGATTGCAGCAACCCCACACTCTCCCATACCCCAACAGAAAGCCGCAGTGCCCCAAAGCCCCAAAAGCGGGAGCAAAAACACCCGAGACACACACCCATGCACGGTGCTGTCACCCCTTAAATCCCTCGCCCTCAAGTTAGTGCTGCTCTCGGAATAAGAAGAAACGCTGTCAGAAATGGCCTCACTGCCAGCTCAGCCACTCCTCAGGCAGCGCTGGTAGCGGCTCCATCTTTGGCCCTTCCGGCCCTTTTGATTCTCCCCAAGCAAGAGTACTAGACACTGGCACAACGTTGAAGTGGCCGGCTGCGCCAGGGTGCAATGTACTTCCGGAATTCTTCCCTACTCAAGGGTCGGTTGTACAGAAAGACGTTTTTCGTCGTCACACGCCTCTCACTCCGTGTGTCGTCTGCGCAGTCTCCATCCCCTTTCATGCTAAAGCGTCCGATCTCCTGTGAATTCCTTCCAGTCGCTGATGTCGATGCTGAATTCTTGAAACGCTGGCCAGTA